CTCTCTCTCTCTCTCTCTCTCTCTCTCCTCTCTCTCTCTCTCTCGTTTTTTATCTTTTCCTTTATAGGTGATTCTCTGCTGGAGGCACAGAGTTACAGCTGGACACAGGGCTCATGCATACCTGAGGAATACCACAGCTCTCCTTCCCTCCCTCCCTCCCTCCCTTCCTTTTTAAATGATTGCAAGTTTTTTTAAAAGATTTCAATGACTAAGTCATATATTTGTAATGGTCCCATCTTATTTTTTTTAAGTGAAAAAAAACAAAACACTTTTTCACTGTTTTGAGTTTTGTGGCCAGTAGTAGGGATTTAGCCTAGAGCACTAGGTCGATTTTGATCAGAAATGGAAAAGCCTCTGCATTTGGCCCCGAATGACGGCCTAGATCTCCCAAACAACAGATGTGAGGCTGATAAAGGCCTTCAGAAAATTCTCTGCCTGGTTGGATTATGACCCCTATCACTCCGAGCCACACTGGACGGAGGTAATGAAATTGGTAACCTAGCATATGTGAAGGCGAAAAAGATGGGAGGGAGAGCTTAAGCCTAGAGCTGGACTACTGTAGACTCCAAAGGTGAGGCCCTGACTGGATTTCCTGCTGTGCGTTCCCCTGCCTCTGGCCCACTCTGTGTATGCGTGGAAAAAAACCCAGGAATTCTACCTCCTGATGGGCCATTCTTTGTGTTGTTCTGTAGACAATCATTAGAAGTTTCTCCTTGCCAACATGATGGCTCAAACGCCAATTCATCTTTTCTCTCCTCTGCCATTGAATAGAAGTAGGAGAATTTTCTGTAATGTTTTACTCCTTTGGCCAGTTTTTCTGTCCAAAGCTATCGCCCTCCAAAGTTGCTTGAGATTTCATCTCCCCAGGTTTGCAGTCGTATGTGGCCAAAAATCTGGTCCGAGAGAGGTTTCTCTAGGCCTTGTTTTCTACACTCTATGATATTTTGATAGCTGTCTATTGTTTTCTGAACTGTGTATTGCTTTCTGCTCTAGCATAGCGTTTATGTATGCTGGGGACTCTTATAGCTCCCTCCGAGCATGCATCGCAAGGCAGCAAGAATGGGTACAGAAGATTTAGGGTGACAAACAGGATGGACTGCATGCACTAGGCCTGCGTGCAGCTGTGCTTCACGCCACAAAAGCAACACTTTTCATCTAGTCGGGTGAAGAGACAATGTGATTCTTGTCATGGCGCTGTGCCTCACCTCAAAGCCTCCTCTGGCCACTCCAATAGCTGGAAGATGAGTAGAAGAGTCTGGGAGCGTCTGCATGTGCGTGTCACGTGGGCAGAATGCACTTGTGACTCCTGGAACTGTTAGCAAAACATTGGAAGCAAAAGGATTTGGAGATGGGACAACGTTGCTTCGGGATGCATGGTGTTAAACCTTCCATCGAAAAGAGCCAAGCCCACTTTGGAAGTTCTGCACGGCCCCAGTATACTCACAGGTGGGCCACCCAGTTACCAACTTGGACCTGGATAAGAGAATTTTCTCTTCTGGTGTTCTGGGGCAGGGCCCATATCTTGGTTCCAGTTCTATTCTGCTGAATCCTGCCTCCTTATTAGGTAAGGAAAACTGGGCAGCTCTGATCCTTTCTGACACCTCTCGATTCCCCTTCTAGTGGAGGTACACCAACGGTACCATCCAGCAGTGCCTTCTGAGAACAAACCAGCATTTCTGCTGTCACACCTACAGGCCTCTGTTGCACGTATGTGCAAAACCTCCAAGAGTTGCCATGCGAGTATTACAAGATTATGACTACTGGGAAAAAAATTTTTTAGGAAAAAAAAATAGGATCAGGAGTGTTCACAATAGCTGCCCATTTCCCCTTTCTCCTTTTAGATGTACTACCAGTGTTTTAAACTTTTACAAGTGAAAAACCAACAGCCCTTCTAATGATATTGAACTACAGTTTGCAGCCTTCCTCTTCCCCTTTAGTTGTACTGCTGGAAATTGTAGTTTGACAGCATCTGAAGGGCTACATAATCCATTCAAATACGAAATACATTCAAGGCTGCCATGTCTTAATAAGGGAACTAGTTGAACTTAGCCTAGATGAGAAGTAGACTACATATAGTTGGTCAATGACGTTTGGGGAGGGGGTGGGCTTTCCTTATATTATTATTCGCAACATAATCCTACCCCCAGATGATGAGGTGGCTGCAATCGAGAACCATGTGAAAGTTCAGAGCAAACTGCCTGCTTGGGAGTGTCCTAAGTCCTACATTGCTGTATCTCTGAATTGGTTTTACGTATCTGGACTACAATGCTGGACTCTGCACCCTCACTCCCCCACCTGTGAATCCTGCTTCTTTATTAAATGGGTCATCTTTGCTTGGTTTGTTGAGTTCTTAATCACTGGTTTTGCCAGTGCGGTTTGTGTAGTGTTTAAACCCACATGGGTGCGGCAGCATCATTCGGAATACCGTTAGCAACCCTTTCTCTTGACTTACAAGACTGGTTCCTGGTCCCTAATATTGATACTACTGGTTCTGCCCTGATCACAAAGGAAGTGAAATCCTTCTGTGATCAGAGGATTCCTTACAAAGAGCACACACGTCTAAGAGGAAGCTGACACTAAACTCAGGCTGCAAGAACTGAAAAATGTACAACGAAAAGCATTTGAAAGCTCCATCTGAGGGGATCTGTCTATTGATCACCGCCTGCAGTTGTCTGCTCGTGATATACCCAACTTTACATCCAGCTATTGGAAATACAAAATTCCCTATTGCCATCTTGAAGCTTAAGAAGTGCATATACTGTAGCAGCTACTTCCTGGATGATTTCAACCTGGATGGTTGTTTAGCATCCCCTACTGATTTGCTCCTACAACTCCAAGTTCAGCTGAGGCTGTAATCCTGTGTATACTTTCCTATAAGAGACATCTACATATTCAATGAATTTTCAGTTGCTTCCTGAAAAACATATATGGGATTGGGCCAGTGGTGGGTTGCTGCCAGTCCTGACCGGTATGGCCATCCCAGTAGTGGTCCGAAGCAGCTGAAAGCCCACCTGTGCTCTAGCTGTATTTATGCCAAAAGGCACACTATGCACACGCGCACAGCGTGCGGTGCCTGCGGGTGCCCCAACAAGCAGCTGGGTGTCGCAAGGGCGGTGGATTGCTCATGCGTACACAGGGCACGTCAGGCTCGTACACGAACAGACCAGGATCAGCGTACCGGTAGCGAGGGCAAGAGCAACCCACCACTGGATTGGGCTATAAAAGCTATAAGGACAGGGCTGGGTGTGGCGTTCTGGGTCATGGAACAGGAAGAGGATGAGAAGACTTCACATTCTCTTTTCAAGGCAATTTAATTAATATAGCCCTCTCTACCCTCAAATAAAGCAGGGTGATCTTACCCAATGGCTTCAAGAAAGATTTAAACCTGGGCAATCACAATTGCAGTTCACATATTTCTGAGCTTTGAATTTACAGCTCTGGTTATGATGAATGGGACAGATGGAACTTGTAGTGTCTGGAGGGTCAGGGATACACACGGTCTTAGCCAAAAGATCCTTGTAATTTTGTGGAGGTGGTATTAAAAATGTGTAATCCATTCTCAGAAAAGTTACAGGTAATCCTCGTTTAGCAACAATTGAGACCAGCAGCACTATGTAGGAAAAAAGAGCCGAGGTGGCGCAGTGGTTAAATGCAGCACTGCAGGCTACTTCAGCTGACTGCAGTTCTGCAGTTCGGCTGTTCAAATCTCACCGGCTCAGGGTAGATTCAGCCTTCCATCCTTCCGAGGTGGGTAAAATGAGGATCCGGATTGTTGTTGGGGGCAATATGCTGACTCTGTAAACCGCTTAGAGAGGGTTGAAAGCCTTATGAAGCGGTATATAAGTCTAACTGCTATTGCTATTGCTAAAATTGGAATAGCTTACCTCCGAAAATTGTGAGTGCTTCACCACTGAAGGTTTTCAAGAAGATACTGGACCGCCATTTGATATAGGACAGCAATGGCAAACCTTTTTTTGGCTTTCGTGCCAGAAGGGGGGAGCGCAGGGGGGTCGTGCGTGGGCATGCCGCACCCATAATGCAACGCACGCCCCCCCAGTGTGCATGCACGCATGAGAGGTGCGACCCCCCCATTTTTCTGTGCTTTTTTTGCCCTCTCCAGCCTCCAGAGGTTTTATAGACACCTGGGGAAGGCAAAAACAGCCTCCCCCACCCCCCGGAGGCTTCAGGGACCTTCAGGAGGCTTCCCTGAAGCCTCCAAAGGGCAAAAAATGACCCTACGAGCAAACCGGAAGTCACTTCCGGTTTGCTTGTAGCGTCGGTTTAAGCCCTCTGGAGGCTTTAGAGACCTTCAGGAGGCTTCCCTGAAGCTTCTGGAGGAATAAAAAGGACCCTATGAGTGCATAAGGTGGTTTTTAGTCCTCCGGAGGCTTCAGGAAAGCCTCCTGAAGGTCCCTGAAGCCTCCGGAGGGCTTAAACTGACCCTACAAGCAAACCAGAAGTTGCTCAATCTGGTACAGTGCCTGGGTAGGTGCAACTACTGCCTGTAACTGATCAACTGGTTTCACGCCTTTATCTTTTATTTGCCTCCTAACAATTTCATTGCAACTTCCCTTAAGAATTAGAGAATAATTTCCAAGAAGGGATTTAATGTTTGTATTTACATTCATTCCAGAGCAAAGAATTACAAGAGAGCAAGTAGGCACAGAATGGTGAGAATACACAATGAAACCAATGCTGTGGTGCCAGCAGCTCCGAGCATATTTCACAAACAGTTCCGTTTATTTCCCATTGGGTGCCTACCTGCTCTCTTGTAATCCCTTCCTCTCCAATCTCTCTATTCGGCAAAGGAGGGGGAGAAAAATGACAAGTGATTTCTATAGATAATCTTTCCTGTACCTGAAGTGTTTAATCCCCCCCCCCTCTCTTTATCTCTCACTAAGAAGAAAGATTGGAGAGGAAAGGATTACATGAGAGGAGTCAGGCACACAATAGAGAACACACTGGGCAGCTTGCACAGCATGCCCGGATGGATTGGGTCTATGAAGGGAGAAGTGGCATGATGGACTACAGTGAAGCATAAATTTCCCAGAAAAAAGGGAGCACATTCCAAGGAAGGGAGACAAGAGACAATATACCCTGGATCTGAACTGGAAACCAAAGAGATTTAGCAGAGCCACTCCCTGGAATTTCTAAGGGTATATTCATTAGAAATATAATAATATAGGTTTTGTCTGGAAAGCTTCTGGTTGTGTGGTGTAAGCACATAAAGAAGTGAAGTTTGATTGGATTGTTCTATGCCATTCTTGGTTTGGGCCTGATATGCTCACTAGTGTCACCATATTCCTTTTGATATTTATTCCCCATTATGGGTCTGCCTACATTTTTGAAATCCTTTACTCTCCACTCAGTTCACTTTGCAAGGGAGAAAAAAAAAAGAAAATTCCATCTTTTATCCATATCAAATTTTGTGGAAGGTTTTGCTCAGCTTTATTGCTTATTCCCTACTCATTTTGCATTGCCCTGGCAGTTTTATTTTCAAAGCCTGTTGCATAGCATACAATATCACAGTAATATTGGCAACTTTTCTTATTAAGACTGGAATCTTATTTCAGCAATTGACCTAAAGATCCTGACTTTGCTGCTTCACACCAAATTAGCATATTAATTAGTATTATAAGCCTTCTTTTCACCTGCATATCTACTCCAGCAAATGTCTCTGACTAATATCTCTCTTAATCTCTACAATTATATGAAATTATTACATGTCTATGGCAACTCAGATACTTTCCCACTAAATTGCTAAATGTTGGAATCGAATTCTATGCTCAAGCATATTTTTAAAAACACTTAAAAGAAACTATGTATATAAATGAGAATCTTAGTGCAGATTTTAAAGCAAAAATTAGAAAATGAGTGTAGCTGTTCAAACTTGCACGACTATTTGCTTAAGAGCTAAAGTATTGTACTGACAAGCGTTTGTTTTTTTTAAGGGTTGACCCCCACCTCCCTTTTCTATGAAATTTCTGATAAAACAAACCAGGAGTCAAAATGCTTGTTTGATTTTCCCCCTCCTTTTATTTTATTTTTGCTGTTTATTTGTTTCTTCTTTTTAAAGTTGCTTTTACATGCGCATAATTTGGAATTCTGCATTGGAATATGGAGCTGTGTTATAATAAGAATCTGACTTCAAGAAACAGAACAACAACCAAAAAAACAAAAAAAAAGTTACTGCATGGTAGAAAAAATTATGTCCGAGGTACAAATACATACAGAGTTCCAAGGACCAAATGTTTTTTTGACAAAGAGATATTTACAAAGTTGTGGGACTGAAGGAAGAGGACAAGGAAGATGGAAATGCAAACAGGAAGTTTTGCCCGAGTTGAACACTTGGAGAACTAGCCAAATCGGGTCAAAGATACTATAGCTCCAATTCACTATGATCCTTGTTCAACCATGTTGGTCTCTAGGAAAACATTCACAATGTTAGGTTAGGTGGCATAACCGAAGAAGAAATACGTATAGGGCTAATTTTCAGCTACATCTCCATTTCAAAAGAAGAATCTACTTGGACGAAAAGCGAGGGAGGGGGGGAACTGAGGCCTGAATCTATTAGTTGTGTTGTTGGCCTAACTGCAGAGTCAGGGAGAGTGATGTTCCTTTTGAAGAAATGGACAAGATATTCATTCCCATCACGGTCACTGTAACGATACTCTACTTTTACTTATGTTTACTGTACTTAAATGGTGGCTTTTCCTGTTATTCAGCCATCTCGGTATAGAACTTCTTCCTCTGGAGCTTATCCAAATATGCTGTTCCCACCCTGAGGCTAATCTGAAAAAATAAAACCCACTTACCCTCTCTTCCCCTTTCTTCTTGCAATGCCTGAACTAGGCAGCCAAATGCAATAAGATAAGTCTTATCCTGCTGGCTTGATGCTCTGAGCTCCGTAGCTAAAGAAACATTAAGGAGGCCATTGGCCATGTTGGCCCAACCAATTGATTTTTCATAGAGGATAACTAGTTCGCCTTTTTTACACAGTTCACAATGAAAAAGCCAACATTTGGGAAGGACCATCTAACATCAGCCTCTGCATTCAGTAAAGGCATCTGGGACAACACACCTAGAACTAACCTCTTGTGCCTGCACTTAGCACCCAATCATATCAATCCTGTTCTCCCCAGTTAAGAAGATAAATATCCCTGCACATAGAATACATTCTCTCCACTTGTATCCTAGTGGTTTTTTTTTTAATGGATTGAGAGTCTGATTTGGGGAGATTTTTGTGAATTCCTCAGGGTCCTCTTGAGCTGCTCTACATCTTTTCGTGAACTTATTATATGCCTAAGATTTCTCACAGTTGCCCTGTGATAATTGTGCTCTAAGACACATGGGACAACCATAAACTGCATGACTGAGAACCTCCACATACAGCCTTTCTGTCGAAGGAGCATCTAAACCAGCGGTGGGTTTCAAATTTTTTTAGAACTTCTTCTGTGGGTGTGGCCTGCTTTGTGGGAGTGGCTTGCTGGCCATGTGACTGGGTGGGAGTGGCCAACTTGTAAAATGTGGTGAAACTCAGTTAACAACGCTCTTGCTTAGCAACCAAAATGTTGGCTCAGAAACTCTGGCATTTGAAGCACGCAAGTCTTAAAGCTATCAAGTTACAAGACCCTTGAACCCCTAACCCTTTAGAAAAAAACCCAGG